GGGATGATGGAAGCTGCCATAGGTCCCCGCTAGGGAGGGAAGCCAGGCATGAATGGGATGAATAAATGAATGAATAAAAATGCTTATGAAGCGAAAGCAGGTTCCTCGTACTCTAAGGGCAGCATGCGGTCCTCTGGGCTGAACTGTCAAAAATGGGGTTGGGGGATGATGGAAGCTGCCATAGGTCCCCGCTAGGGAGGGAAGCCAGGCATGAATGGGATGAATAAATGAATGAATAAAAATGCTTATGAAGCGAAAGCAGGTTCCTCGTACTCTAAGGGCAGCATGCGGTCCTCTGGGCTGAACTGTCTGCGCTGAAGACGGAGGTCTGCTTAAGTCACCAAACCCATCACAGTCCTGAATATTGCGACAGGTGGGTGGGGGTGGGCGCGGGGGACTCTGAGCGGCAGCGCCAATGAGATCCCAGGCCCGAGTTAGGTGACCCTTTTTGGACGCCTCTTGGTTCTTTGCAGTCCTGGTCCAGACCCGCGGTGGCAACTCCAACGGCGCCCTCTGCCACTTCCCCTTCATCTACAACAACCGGAATTACACGGACTGCACCTCCGAGGGGCGGCGAGACAACATGAAGTGGTGTGGCACCACCCCAAACTATGACGCGGACCAGAAGTTTGGCTTCTGTCCCATGGCGGGTGAGCTGCATGTGTGTTGACTGTCAGTCCGGCGGGAAGGCGTCTGGCTGGGGGGGTCGCTCTGCTTTTCCTTGGGGGCCGCTGAGTGCTGGCCGGCCGGCCGGTGCACTGCTGTCCAGGGGCTCACCAGACGTCAGGCAAGAGCTGCACCTGGGAAGGCACCCCCCCAGGACCCCCCACCCCCTCCGCTACCAGAATCAGTTTGCCCAAAGGGACCATCCAAGCAGATGGGTACCTGGAAGACGGACAGCATTTGTTCCAGGGTTAGCTTTTGTGGGGCACAGCTGGTCTTCTGTTTCCTACAGCAGACTTAACACGGCTGCCCCACTGGAAGTGCCTTCCCTGCTGTTGTGACTCCCGTAGATGAGGGGTCAAGTCGCCTTCCAGAGCTCCCTGCATGGTCAGTCGTGGCTCAGTCTGTTTTCCTGGGGTGTCTGAGTCACGGTGCCCACCCCACGGGCCACATCGGGACCCCAGGAGACCCTGCGGAGCAGCCCTGACAGTGGCTGGCCCATGACCTTCCCCCACACTTAGGGGACCGGGGGGGGCCCTCCTAGCTGGACAGCCTAGCCCACTGAGCTTGCAGCAGTGATGGCGGCACCCTCAGGCTCTGCCAAGCGCTGACCCCCCTCCCCCCCAGGAGAAATCGCCCCTTCCCAGGTAAGGCGCGGGGGTGATGCCGCTCCAGCTAGCTCCGGCAGGAGCACCTTTGCTCAAATTGACTGCCACCCCACCCCCCCGAATTCCTTTAAAAAAAAGAAAGAAGAAGAACTGGAGGAATGCTTCCTGCTTCTCTATGTAATGCCTGCTTGGGCCGTTAGACAAACAGAGCACTGTCTTTGGAGTTTCATGGTGGTCATGATGATGCGGTGTTCCCTCTAAGGTGAGTCAGTGTGAGCTAGCTCACAGTTTTGTAGCCTCTGGCTCACACCTTTTTGCCTTGGCTCAGGAAGGATGGGGCTCCAGAGCAAACTCATTTATGCAGCAGCCAAATCGCTCTCCCACAACTTTAATGCCAGGGGCTCACAAAGGAGAATTTCTGCTCACAAGAAGGCTCCGCAGCTGAGAGGGAGGCCTTGGTCATGACTTGTGTGGGGCGGGGCCTGGTGAAGTCAGGGGGGGGGGGGCTGGTGACGTTGCAGGGCAGGGCCAAGCGTGAGCCGTGCCCCCTTCCCCTGGGGAGGGGGGGAGCCCTGGGGGGGCACAGTAGAGCCTTGCTGGAGTCCAGCCCTTCCTTCCTCTGGATCCCGACTGCAGTGCCCTCGAGACCTGGAGGCATGGAAACCCACGGGAGAGAGCCGGGCCCCTTTGACTTCACGCGTAGCACAGGATAAGCCAAGAGGAGTACTCCCAAGGAGCAAACTTGATCTTTGTCCTTCCTTTGGCAGCGCACGAGGAGATCTGCACCACCAACGACGGGGTCATGTATCGCGTGGGAGACCAGTGGGACAAGCAGCACGACATGGGCCACATGATGCGATGCACCTGCGTGGGGAACGGGCGCGGCGAGTGGACCTGCATCGCCTACTCCCAGCTCAGAGGTATCCCGGCCTGCCCTCCCCCCCCACAGCCCCCCCCCGTGTGCCGGCTTCCCTGGTCCTGGGGGGCGCACGCAGGTGGAGCCCTGCCGGATCAGGCCGATGGTGGCCCGTCCAGCCCTGCCCTCTCGCGTCACACAGTGGCCAGAACTCAGGGGGGTCCTGGGAGTGCACTTGAGTGGGGATCTCCACAGGCCGATGTTTGTTTTTATTTTAAAAATGTATTTATTACATTTCTTCAGTCACGGTTCACCAAAAGGGTCTTGCAGTGACTTACAACACTCAAATGACTTGCATGATAGATAAAACCCAACAAAATCAGATAATACAGATAAAATATTAAGATATCTGGATATGTAACTCCGCACCGTACCACTATCAAACCAGCCCCAAGCATCTGGTTATCCTCCAGAGGGGAACGTGAGCCATTTGGCCTTGCAGTCCCTGCAGAAACGAAATGGGTCCCGCAGGGTGCAGGTGCCCACCGGGCAGTGTGTTCCACAGGCTGTAGGGGCCATACCTGAGAAGGCCCTCCCCCCCTGGTGACAGCTGACGGGACCCTCCTGGGGCCGGGCCGCCCACAGGAGGAGTGGAATCAGGCCCAGCGTCACGGGAGGCATCTTTTCAAAGTCCAGGCCTGGGAAAAGAAGAGAAGAGGAGAAGAGATTGGATTCATACCCCATGGCCCTTCACTACCCAAAGGCTGACAAACTCCCTTCCCTTCCCCCTCCCCACAACAGACACCCTGTGAGGTGAGCGGGGCTGAGAGAGCTCTTGACAGAAACGGCTCTTTTTCAAGGACGGCTCTTGTCAGAACTACGGCTTGCCCAAGGTCATCCAGCCAGGTGCCAGTGGAGGAGGAGCAGGGAGACAAACCCGGTTCTCCCAGATTAGAGTCCGCCTGCACTCAACCACTGCACCAAACTGGCACAGCCGCGAGCAGGAGGACGGCCGAAGGGGGCGCGGTGGGCTGTAACAGGAGAGACAGCATGGAAGGGCGGGAGGGTTTGCACAGGCACTCTGGTGTGTGTGGCCCTTTTCTCCTCGCTGCCTCATGGGCACAGTCTCTGCAGCGGCTGCTAGTCGGCTCCTTCAGCGGAGGCAGAGTGACCCTGTTGTGGTTCTGCCTGAGCCTCAAGCCTGTAGGAATTTGGGCCGTGGCCAAGCAGTGGGTCTCAGGCTCTTGAGTACTCCCACACTGCAGAGAGAGAACGGGGCCTGCCACTGTTTGCACGCTGTGAACCCGAGAGATAATATTGGCCAGCAACCCCAGGGGCTCCTTGGCCTTTGACCTCTGCTCTCCTGTTGCTTTGACCTCTGCCCCTCAGGGGCCCCCCCAACAAACTTCCTGCATCCTTTGATCTTGAAAAAAATGGCTTCTCCCCGGGGGTGTCAGAAGAAGCGCAGTAAACAAATCAAATGCATTCCTCCAGAGCCTTTGCGACTCGGATAAAGCATGCAGATGAGGGGAAGGGAGCCCTCGTGGGATGGAAGTCCCGTTGTGTGTGCAGCTGCTGGTCGTGACAGACAAACGAAACCTGCAACCTTTTGCTCAGAGCTCCCTTCTGTCTGCAGGGGCCTTGGGCTGGCGCCACTGATGCTGCAGGTTCTTTGGGGGTGGGGGGTGGAGAGAGTGCGTAGGAAGGTGGCGCCAGGGGGAAAGGAGCCCTTCAGAGGTGGGTCGTCCCATGTCTCCTTTAGGGCGGTGGACTGCTTCTGTTTGGGAGGAGCAGGCGAGGTGTGTGGAGGAAGGACTCCAGAGCTGCGGCTGAAGCAGAACCTAGTCTACGGGGTGCTTGTTTTGAACGTTGCTCGTGCCCTTGGCTCTCCAGCTCCTGGCCTTTGCCTTGCCAAAGTCCAAATGGCTTCAGTCGATCTCTGCTCGTCTTTGCTTAGTCGTGTCCCTACTGGGGTCCTCCAGGGACACGCCTCTTTGGTCTGATAGTTCAGGATTCGGGCTGGTTTTTATTACCACTGGAAGTTCTAGTAATCCCCCCCTGTGTCCTAGAGGGTTTGCTGCTAGGACGGCTAGTAAAGCCTGTGGCAAGGTGTGGGTCGTTTCACTGGCTGACCAGCCTGCTTTTAGGAAGTTTAGCACCGCCCCTTATATTACGCAGAACAGTAATAATTCTGGGGGGCAGGATGGATGAGCAAAGAGGCAGGAAGGGGGGGAGGGAAGGGAGGTAGCGCGGAGGGAGGGAGGGAGGCCGCGCACCCACCATCTGCTGGTGACAAAAGGCTCCTCCTGCTTCAGGTCAGCAGTGGGAGGAGGCTGGGGGTGGGGGCAGAACCAGCTAGAGACTGGTGGGGCTCAGGAGACCTTTTTGATGCTCCTGCCTCCTCGAGGAGGTGGGTGTCAGAGAGGTCTCAAGTCCCCCACGGAGCCTCTGCCCCCACCGATGTTATTGGCCAGAGTCCCCGGCTGGGTTGCTGTGGCTGGAGAGAGATCAGGATCTGTGCCCGCAGTGCGGGAAACGCTGGGGCCGGACGTGCTGTTGGGAGGTCTGAGCTTTGCGGGAGAGGCTGGCAGAGGGTGTGTCCAGGTGATGTGGTGGGAGAGCCAGGTGGGCCTGGCTGGGATACAGCTCATGCCCGGCCACAGACAAGAGAGTCGGGAGATGGGGAGGTGGTCGTCCCGACCAGGTACTTGGTTAGGCTTCCAGAGAGGTTTGGCGTAGAAAAGGAGTTTCCTGAGGGGCCTGGGATGGTCAGTTGTTGTCCTGAAAACGGGGGTCTTGGACCCATGCCTGGGTGAGGGGCGGTGCCTTGGAGGGTCACACACGCACGCACACACACACACACCTTTGAATCGAATGAGGTGTTCCGGAGTAGCAGCGTGAAGGCCTGGGGGGGGGGGGGGAGAGGAAAGAATGGGGTGGGGAGGGGAGGCGTTTCTGGTGTTTCCCCTTCCCCCAAGGACCCCCCCCCATTTTTCCAGTGAAATATTTTTCCTATGAAACATTTAATATTTTGGAGGGAGAAAAACCTCATCTTAAAATCGTTTAACTCATTTCAAAGGTGTAACATGAAAACATTCAAGGGCTTTCTCAATTCTTCCGACAGGAAAATTGGGAAATCTTGGCAAGCACTGAAAACAAAACAGTGACATATTTTCTCTTTTGGGCAGTGAAATGCAAAGGGTGCAGCACTTGCAACGCTTTTTGAAGCCTAGGGTATTCTTGTCGTTCTTCTTGCAGAAGGTTACAAATTTATCCTTTTAAATTCCATAAATGTTCTAAGGATGGCCCCGTTCTGGTGGGACCAGCTGTCAGACGGTACGCGAACCCTGCGGGACTCATCTGAGTTCTACGGGGCCTGCAAAGCGGAGTTCTTCCATTTAGCTTTTTATTAGTCGGGTCTGCCTTTTAGTTTTATTTGTATTATGGTTTTAATTGATATCTGTTAATATTTTCACTGCTGTTAGCCCCTGTTATTAGCCCCTTGGTGGCAAGAGGCGGCATATAAATTTAACAACAAGCACAATAATAGTAATAATAATATAGAACAAAAATGTATGCCAAGTTTTTAAAAGATGCATTTTATATTGTTCAATCAGTACAAGACGTTTTGGGTTTGTAAGGAAGTAAGAATTGCATATATTTGAATTTCTCACCAAAAGGCCATTTCCCGCCCTTGGCTTTAACATTTTTGGAAACAGGGTTCCCACGCTGTGACCAGGCTGCTTTGTGGTGCCAGAGCCCGAGTGGCTGAGAATTTCTGGCTCGCCAGTACAGGATGGCTTCCCCCAAAGCCTCGGCCTGTGCTTGGCCAGGGGGTCCCGGGGGAACAGAGGCACACGACTCTCCTGTAGGGGTGGGGTGGGGTGGGGGTCTTGGAGCAGTAGTTGCTCCTGCAAAGTCACGGTGGTTCTCTGTGCTAAGCGGAGAGGACCATGACTTTGCTAGAAATTGGGCTTAGATTAAAGCTGAAAAGAAAGAAAAAACCTGTGCTGGGGTGGGAGGATAGGGTCAGATTGGTGGTGGGGAAGGAGTTAATGGCCAATGTGTCCTGTGCGGGTCACGACAGCGGCCGAGGCTGGCCGGTGTCCTCTCTGCGGTAAAGGCCTCCCCAGCTCTGTGTTTGACTTGTGCAGCGTGATCAAGGGCATAAACATCTTGCTTGTTTGTCGGAACAGACCAGTGCATCGTCGACGGGATCACGTACGACGTCAACCAGACCTTCCACAAACGCCACGAAGAAGGGCACATGCTGAACTGCACCTGCTTTGGTCAAGGGCGGGGCCGATGGAAATGCGACCCCATTGGTAAGTTTGTGCCCATCTGGATACCACAGGGGTGGTTCTCCCCCCCCCCCCCCCGAAAAACTCAGCATCAGTAAAATTGCCTGTGCGGGTCTGGTCAGTCAGGATTGTGGGGCAATCCTGCTAACGCTGCTTTCTGACGGGAATCCCTTGCAAAGGTTTGCTCCCAGATAGATGGTTTGTGTTCGACACATTCAGGGATCTTATCCAAGCCAAAGAGGCAAGACGAGCCATCGGAAGTGTTGGGTCATGGTTTCCTTTCCAGCGTAATTGGGTCCCACGGTCTGGTGGTGTAACCGGAGCCCTCCCACCCCCAGCTTCGGCTGCCAGAGGATGGAAACTTCTCTTCCCCCTCCCTCCAGCTGGGATTGGTTGTGGTGTGCTGTCCCACGACTTCCCCCCTCTCCCCGGAGATGTACACGTGACGATGCCTCCTCCCCCGGCCCTCCCACTGGGGATCAGGCCGCCAAAGGGGGAGAAGAGCGGGTGTGGCAGGCAGGCCTCCTCTTGGGAAATCTGAGGAGGGAAAGGCTGTTTGGTCTGCCGGCCTCCTGGACCTGAAGAGCCTCTCTGCTTTGAGGTTCGGCTTCTTTTGTTGGCCTGGCTGTTACCGCTTTTTTCTGGGACGAAGGGACGAGGAAGGGCCCTGCGGATGACCCTTCTGAACCTGACCGCAACCTTTTCCCCTTTCTGAAAACGAACAATGGCTTTCCCCCCCTGAGCAGAGGACTCCCCCCAGCCCCCCCAGTCATTCTGATCAAATGATGAGCAGATTCTTTAAATCTCTGGTTTCTCACTCCCCGGAGAGCTTTAACGTGCTTTTCCTGGCGTGAGTTTAAAAAGCGCTCGTGGTGAAGTCTGGCCTAATTGAGAAAACATCTGCAGAGGCTCACACATTCGTTCCTCCTGGGGAAGCATAGAGCCGTTTTACAAAGTGAGTGAACTTGTTCCTGAAGTTAAGGTCCAGTCTTGTTCTTCAGGATGCCAGTGGAATGGCCGTGCTTTTTGACCTCCCGCCTGAATAGGGCTGTATCCCGTGGTGGTGGGTGTCAGTCAACTCAAGAGTAGACGCGTGCACAGCCTTTCGATCGCATGCAGGCAACTGTGGAAGAAAGGAGGGCGGAAGTCATTGTGGAGGGAGGGGGGGCCTCTTACCCCCCCCGGCCTCCCTCCCTCCCTCGGTGATGCCCCGGTGGCCGCGGGGTGGCCTGTGCTGTTTTCCGGCCGGCCCCCTGTGCAGGCCAGCCCGAAGAGCGTTGCAGCAATGAGGACCGCTTCCCCGCAGAAGGTGCTGCTACCATTTAAGCCGCTGCCTGAGGCCCCGTAGCCTGCTGGGAGATGGCCCTCCGGAGAGTGGCAGAGGGACCCCGGGGTGTGTGTGTGTGTGTGTGTGTGTGTCTTCCACCAGAGTGGCTCCAGCCCAGCGGCGTCTCTGTCCCGTTGGGTTGCGGAGCCCTCCTGTTCCCAGCAGGAGACCCTCCCTCCCTCCCTCCCTCAGCCTCAGCTCCCAGTCCCAGTCCGGATGGCCTCTCTGAGGAGGGAGCCCAAGGAGGATGGGGGGGGGATTTCACGACAAAACAGAGGGGTCCTGGCGGAGCCTGGGCCCCCCCCGAGGCACGCCGGCATCCCTGAGATCTCTTCCCCCTCCCCTTTCAGACCAGTGTCAAGATTCGGAGAGCCAGACCTTCTACCAGATTGGAGACTCGTGGGAGAAACACGTCCACGGCGTCCGGTACCAGTGCTATTGCTACGGGCGGGGCATTGGGGAGTGGCACTGCCAGCCTCTGAGCACCTACTCAGGTAAGCCCCCCCCCCCCCGCGGCCCCTCGGGAATCGTCCCTGGGCGTGGTGGTGCCCCTTGGGCGAGCGCTCCTGTCTCCCGCGATCTGTTGTCCTCCTGAGTGCTGCACGGACCTTCCTCTCGTGGTTTCATTGATATGTTTATCATGAGAGGGCGAAAGGGAGACAGACGTGTCCCTCATTTGGCAGCCTTTGCAGAAACCATCCCCTTTTGGGTCCACAGTATCCTCCCCCCCCCCGGTTACTATAGCGCTCCTGGTGACTGGGGCTGCGGTGGCTCAGTGGTTCAGGCGCCGAGAGACCCGAGTGCCGCGTGACGGAGTGAGCTCCAGTCTCTGGCCCCAGCTCCTGCCAGCCTAGCAGTTTGAAAACAAGAAATTGCAAGTCAATAAATAGGTACCACTTTGGTGGGAAGCTCACAGCGTTCTGTGGGCCTCGGCGTCTAGTCATGCCGGCCACATGACCACGGAGAAGTCTCCGGACAGCGCGGGCTCTTCGGCTTGGAAACGGAGATGAGCACCGCATCCCTAGAGTCGGATTCGACTGGCTTTCGAGCAAGGGAGACCTTTACTTTTTACCTATCCCCCCCCCGGAACTGTCCTATTGGGTTCCCGTCTCTAGTCCCTGGGGCTGCTCTTCCACAGCAGGGTCATTGGAGTCCCTAGTTGGCACCTTTAAGAGACCAACGGAGTGTAATTCTGGGTATCCGCTTTCGTGTGCATGGACATGTCTTCCGATACCATTGGGGATGAAGGTTCGCTTGGTCTTTTCACAGGGAAATGCCCAACTTTTGCTTGAATCCTTCTGCCTTACTTTTCTCTTTCCAGTTTGGGCTTTTTAAACGTTAGCTTTAAAATCTCACTCATAACGGCACCGACTTTTCCCCTGACCTCTTAACAGCAAGGACCAGTTTAGCTTGGGGGGGTGACTCTTGCGTGAATCAGCAGCACCTGCTGCCTTCCCCCCTTCCATGAAAAGCGAAGGGCCTCTGCTAGGAAAGAGGCTGGCAGCCTGACTCCGCATGTTGGGTTGGAGCCGCTGTCCTGATGGGGGAGGGGGTTGCCTGGCAGAGGGAGGTTCCCCCCCCCGCCCCTGCCCCTCCCATCCTTCAGCCCCTCCGCTCCCTCCGGCCCCGGGGTCTGCAGGAGTAGCTGACTCATGTTGCCACCACCACCGGCGGCTCCCTCTTTGCCTGGCGTTCCTGCCGCTGAGATCTCGCGGGTGTGTGTGTGTAGGGACTGATGCAATCCGTTCTGTGGACTCACTGTTTGCACTCTGTTGCTCACCCAGTTCCAGGAACTCTCCATAAACGTGGTCCGTTTGAGCGTGTTTTGTTTTATCTGCTTCGGTCCTGCACATTGATAAGGGGCGATAAGGGAGATGGACCTTGGTGCTTCCCGGCTGCTGCTGCTGCTGTGCGTGTGTGCGTGTGCGTGCTTAGTTTTTAATTAAACCTGGTGAGCCCAGCAGCGCTTCCCTCTCTGCGAGGGGCATCCATGTGGAGGGTATTACTCTGGAAGGGCAACCCTGAGGGAGGAAGGGCATCTCTGTGGGGGTTTTCGGTCCACTGTTGTTCTTACTGTGGGATGAGGCAGGGTGTTGTGCGGGGTTACACGCAGAGTTCTGCCTGGAGAGTTGTCTATTATTGGGTAGCTTGCGTAGCCTCGTGCGGAGGGAGGCAGTTCAGCCAAGGCCTTTGCTCCCACGTCAGGGCAGGTTGCTTCATCCATCAGCCCTTCACCTGCAGACCCGGGTAAGCCAGAGCTGCCGTGAACGGTTCCCTTCCCCTCGCCCCCCTGTCAAGGTGCCTGCTTAGCAGAGAGTTACGTGTTGCTCGGTCAAGTGAGCCAAGCCACGTGCCACAAGAGGGAAGGCAAGTGAGTCCAGGGGGTGAGAAAGAGTAGTAGGCTCACGCATCTGTGGTGAATTAAAATCCTTAATGGAAATGTGGAAGTGGCAGTCTGGCTTGGAACGTTAAACAAGCTGTGGAAAACCGTGGAGAGGCGCGTGCCTTCGTCGGCATCAGGGCGTGACATTGTGGCCAGCCCCCAGGTCTTCTTCGAGGGTCCCCCGGTCCCCACAGCCTCTGGAGCGCTTTCCTGTGTTGCTTCCTCTGCTCCCAGCATCCTGGCCGCCCCGCTCACAGGCCTGGTGGGTCCCCGGCGTCTGCCCCATTTCCTTCCCTCAGTCGTCTCCTGTTATAGGTCAGGGCTGACTGAATGGCTGTCGTTCTCCTGGGGCCCTTGCCTTCATTTCAGGTTTTGAGTTTGTGGGCGTGGTGGGAGCCGTGCCAGAGGCTGAAGTGAGTGGAGGTGGCCCATTGGTCACTGTGTGTCTTTGTGCCCGTCATCATTCGTTAATGTGCCTCTGACCTGTGCTGGGAACGGCACGTGCCTATTTTAAGTCGCTCATTTTCGGTGTGGCCCTCATGAAGGGAACGGCTAGAAAGGAACAAAACCCCGTCTCTGTGGCTATTGCGGGGGGAAAGACTGACCGTGGATACTGGCTGACCCAGGCTGGGGACATTTTGTCCTGGGATGTACACAGGAGGCTACGGAATGATGTCACAGGAGGAGACGCTCAGAGCTAACAGGGCCCCCCCCCCACACACACAAATGAGGATGTTTGTTTTTATGTATTTGCTCATCGGGTACAGCTGGGCCGCTGAAGGCAGCCGGCACAGCAACCGTTGCACAAAGCACAATTCAAGTCCAGGAGGAGCCCCTTTGGTGTAGTGGTTTGGTGTCGTGGTTAAGTGTGCTAACTCTGAACTGGGAGAACCGGGTTTGATTCCCCACTCCTCCTCCACTGGCACCTGGCTGGTGTGACCTTGGGCGAGCCCTAGTTCTGACAAGAGCCGTTCTTGAAAAAGAGCAAGTTTCTGACACCTCATAGGGTGTCTGCCTGTTGTGGGGAGGGGGAGGGAAAGGAGTTTGTAAGCCGCTTCGTTGGGTAGTGAAGGGCCATGGGGTAGAAACCCAATCTCCTCCTCCTCCTCCTCCTCCTTCAAGACCAGCAACGTTTTCTGTGGTCTGTCCTTGTGTGAGTCGGAGCGCTCCCTTTCTCAGAGGCAGGTGGGAACGGATCTTCATCCCTGCTTGTATATGACAAGCTGAGCGTTGACTCGTGGCGATGTCTACCCTGGAACATGTTGCTGGTCTTCAGGGTGCTCCTGGACTTGAATTTTGCCCTGCTTCTGCAGACTAATATAGCGGCCCACCTGGAATCATGACTCAAATCAGTTTCAACTGCGGGGCACAGAATCCTCACAAGCAAAGGGCAGACGATTCTCGATGGGAACAAACCTGGGCTGGGTCCTTCCTTGGTGGCTCTGCCATTTCAAGGAGCAGCAGCAGCAAACGTGGTGGGAAACGGGGCGGGGGGGCAGCTTCTAAAGCGGGAGTGGGTGGGTTTCGAAACACCCCTGGGATGCCTGGCCTGGGGAGGAAGGCGACGATTACCTCAGGAGATTAAAAATAAGGCCAACACTGTCAGTGCAAGAAAAGTAAACATACATACATACATACGTGCACACAGTTATTATTATTATTATTATTAAGCTAAAAATTCCCCACGCGTTTCACCAACAGGTTTCTTTGGGGGAATCTGTGTGTCTTTCAGTGTTCCTTCAGCGAGGACACGAGAGATCAGTCTCCAGTCTTTGCCTCCACCATCGGCCTTGGCCTTATTTTTTTAATCACTTGGTGACTGGAGTGCAGCCCTTTTTTTTTCTCCCTCACGACCTCAGGAGGGCCGCTCCAGCGGAGCACCCTTACACGGCAAGTCTTCAGCTGGGATGGTCGCCCTGCGGCAGACAGAGAGTCAGTTGAGAAACGGGCCATGATCTGTCACAAACTCCTCTCTGAGGCCGGCCGCGTTTTGGCGCCCCTTCAAGGGAAAAGGCCCTCCTGGCTTCTTGGGTGGCTTCTGAGCCCCAGGGTCTGTGGCCGGATGGGCCCCACCAGCATCTGTGCGCGCGCTCAGAAGTGGTAGCCCCGGTCCCTCTTCGGAGACCGAACCGAGGGAGAATGTGTTCGGCAGTCGAGCGGCTGAATTCCTGAGCGGCTCCCAGGGAATTCGGCCAGCTTTGAAGTGATCTCTGTGTGTACGTGGGGGTGGGGTTTGTTTTTACGGAAGCCCCTTAAAAGTTCCCACTGGTATGTAAGTTATACAGGTTCAGAAAGGGAGGCTGTTTCAGAGGGAAGAATTTAATTTGCTAAAATAACAGTGGTTCCCACCAAGTCAGACAGTTGTTTGCTGGCGGGCAGAGTTGTCTGGGTCTCGCTTGCAAACCCCTCCCCCACACACACCTCTGCTTATTCTGCATCTAGACTGAGTCATTTAGTCGGAAAGGTGGTGCTGGGTGGGTGGGACGGGAATGGAAGGTCCACACAGCATGCATGAAACGGAGTTCCTTTCTGTGGCTTTTAACTGGTTGTGGGTGGCCTCAGCCAGCCATTCGCTCTCCCCTCACTTGCGTCTTGAGTGCCGGCCCGGGATTGTGGGGTGGGGGAAGCATCCATGTGTGCTGTCCTTGGTCCCCTCGGAGGAGGGGGCAGGGGGGATCCAGTGGTAACAGAGGGAGTGGTTCGGAGTGCCGCTTGCCCCGCGGCCCCCCCCCCAGCTCCTTCCCTTGCCGCATTTGGAGCCTGGCAGAGTTTCCAGGCTGTAGAATTCAGAGGGGCTAACGTGAGAAGTGGCACCACGTGGAACCCTCCTCCGGATGAGTGCTTTTCCCGAGGCCCCCCCTCCCCCAGGGTCTTGTGTCAACCAAGGGCCAGTTCAGACATTGACCGTTTTCTTGTCCTGAAAGTGGTACCCCACACGGGGAAGCGCTGGGAAGCCCACTGGCACCACACGTGGATTGATCAGGCTGCCTTTAGGGAAGATGTTCACAACCTACCTGCTTGGGAATCCTGCCTGCCACTAGGGTGACTCTGGGGATCGTTCTGCAGTCTGTGAAAAAGTAGAACAGAATAATTCTGCCTTCTGACCAGACTCCCTACACTGGACAGGGGTGGTAGATAAATAATTTAGTGTGTGGATATTTACTCACGATGTTTACCAATACACAAAGGGCGCCAACGTTTAGCATCGGGGCCTTGTTGCGGAAGGGGGGGGTCAGGGCTTCCCACGAAGTGGGGGACGGAGGAAGCCCTCAGGAAAAGGATTGGTGTCGTTTCTGTTCCAGGTTCCACTGGTCCCGTCCAGGTGATCATCACAGATGTCCCGATTCATCCGGATTCTCACCCTGTCCAGTGGGTTGCCCCCGAATCCTCCCATATCTCCAAGTACATCCTCCGATGGAAACCAGTAAGGACATCAGCCATTGAATCAAAGAAATCCCTGGGCCTTGACAAAGAGCTGTAATCCCTCTCCACAGTCCAGGAGAAGAGAGCCAGTTTGGTGTAATGGAGAGAACCGGGTCTGTTTCCCCACTCCTCCACTGGCTGGATGACCTTGGGCAAGCCGTAGTTCTGACAAGAGCTGTCCTTGAAAAAGAGCAGTCTCTGTGGAGAGCTCTCTCAGCCCCACCTGCCTCACAGGGTGTCTGTCTGTTGTGGGGAGGGAAAGGGAAAGGAGTTTGTGAGCTGCTCTGAGACTCCTTTGGGTGGTGAAGGGCAGCAGGGTATAAATCCAATCTCCTCCTCCTCCTCCTCCTCCTCCTCTTCTACTTGAGAGGGCTTGCACTCAGGATGTACACAGACCCTCTTCTCTGTGCCGCGGCTGGGAGCTTGCAGAGTGGAGCTGACTGGGACAGTCCCAGTTTCACATCCCTGTTAGCCTGCCGTGGAACGGCTTTGCGGTGAGGGGGGGAACGAGGAGGCTACAGACAGGGGAAATAACGCCCAGGGCGGGCAGGGGGACATTCTTTGTTGCGGTGGGCACCGTGCCATGGCTCCCAGTTACTGTGCTCTGCAAAAACCCAGCAGCCTCTGTGCGACTTAGCACAGAACCAGAGAGTGTCAACCCACAGGTGGCTGTGAGGGGTCCGCACTCTTTCGTCTTGCGCAGCGTCGGGGTATGGCGCCAGCACTGGAGGAGGAGGGGGATTGGGGATTGGGGCCCAACCAACACGTTACATTTAACAGATCAATGATCCTAATGTGGACTTGCAGCCATATGCCTTTTGTGTGTCCCCCGTGGGAATTCAGTGTTCAGTTCATGGCCACGGCACAGGCAGAGGAGGGACTCCGACCTCTCACCCCCCCCCCCGGGTGAGGCCATTTTGGGTCAGGAAAGGGGGGGGTAGGAGGAAGGCTGGAGCCCCTGACCCGGGTTGGGCCCCTGTGGTGCGTGAGAGTTCCGCTCCCGTAAGGAGTTTGCAGCTGGCGTGCGGCCCCCGCTGGGATTCCGTGTTCAGTGTGACGAGTGTTTTGGGCCCGAGGGGGCTCCATCCCACATACATTTATCCCGCTCACCTTGGATTCCGGCACAAACAAGCGGGTCAGCTCAGGATCCCTGTTGATATATTATACAAATATTGGTTCTTTTGAGTGCACATCCACAAATGATTAGGTAAGATCGCCAAATGTTTTTCCACCCAGAGGAGCTGCAAGGATTTCATGCAAGGGCCTGTCCCATTGGGCATTAGGCGCATGGCTTTTCTTGTTGATCAGGGGAGTTTTCCCCCTCAGGCGAGCAACTGCTCCCACCCAGGCCTCTGGCAAATGAAATTGTTCTTCAGCATGCTGTTAATCTCGATCGGCCACATAAGCAGCCGTTGTTAGACCCTGATGAATTTCCCCCTCCGCCTTAAGGAAAAAGTTCCTTCCTTACAGTATTCTTCACAACCTGGAACGAGGACTCGGATGTTCTTGGTTGCTCCTTGTCCTTTAGGCACGGGGGCCTCTTCAAGGACGTGTTCCGTTGTTATGACACGGCCTCTCTTTATGGAAATCAACAGCTGGACTTTGTCCAGTTTTCAGGCATTGAAAAGATAACCACAAGAAGTATCTTTTGAATCCCCGTTCTTACTGGTAACGTTCTGTAAACAGGGCGCATCCAAACTGGGGGAGACACTGAAAATGGCCGAGCAGCCCGCCTTCCTTGGCGACCGTGCTGTCTCTGTGAACGGCTGACGCCGTCGTGGTCACAGCTCCAGGACGTGTGTGAAGCCAGGCCTGAGGATGCACTGGTGTCCTTGTGGCCAACTGAGCCTGGAGTCTGAACGTGCCCCTCTGCCAAAGCTCTGTGGGCGTCCTGAGGGAGGGTGGCCCCACCTCCTCTCCTCTCCTCTCCCTCCAGCGCCATCCAGCCACCGTGGAGCCCGGCTGAATCAAACCCAATCCAATCTCCTCTTTGACATCTTGGTTTCGGGTTTTGAATCTGGCAAGGACTGCGTGTCAGTGGTGTCGGGAGTGTCCTGCTTTGTCTAGTTGTGATGTGAAAGATGCCTGAGAAATGCAGCCTCTTGCTCAGCACTGCTGTGGAACAGGTCGTAGGGATAGACGTCAGACATGGAAACGAGTATGTTGAAGTGCTCTGTGTTCACTGCCGTGAGGATCCTGCATTATTGTGCTGGGAACGGGGGGGAATCTAGTGGAGGGACTTTGCAGGTGGTTCCTGAAAAGTACGCTCAGCATGACTTTTTGAGAACCGCTCCTTTAGGCAGCTGCTTGTTCCTCCCACAAGGAAGCATCACTTTTCGGAGTCGGTCACAAAGCCAGTGGAGATCTCCCTCCACTTTAGGAAACAAAGCCAGTGGAGATCTCCCTCCACTTTCAGACTTCGATGCCTGAGATGTTCCTGCCCTGATTTCCGTTTCCACTTGGCTTTTTAGAAGAACACTGGAGCGAGATGGAAAGAGGTCACCATTCCAGGTTACTTGAATTCCTACACGATCTCTGGCCTGAAACCTGGAGTCCTCTACGAGGGGCAGCTGATCTGTGTGCAGCATTATGGACAGAGAGAAGTCACCCGCTTCGAATTCACCACCTCGAGTACCACGGCTGTTTCAAGTAGGTAACCCCAGGAAAGAGGAACTCTCTGGTCTGCCCCCAGTCCTCTTGGGCACTTTGACCCCAGCAGATGCATTGTCAGGCGTAGTTTTTGCTTTGTTCGTGCTCGGTTGATAGCATGTCTTCCGTGCGCTGTGTTTTCACTTTGCAGTGTGCTTTCTTATGCGAAAGGAATGGCATGGAATTTTATCTCCTTACACAGGAGTTATGTGATCGCTTTGGGCCTTCTTGTTAACTCTGAATGTCCTCATTCATTTTGTTGTCTGGCTTGCAGTTAGATGCCTTGCTTTTGCCTCCGACGGCGATCACTCCGGTGTTTTTCTTCTTTCACTCCCAGATCTCATTTCTGTGTGTTTCTCTGAATACCTCTCTGCATTTTGCGATTTTTAGCTTTTGGAAGGATGGCATGTGTTTTGCTACACATTTGATCCGTTTGTTTTTGCAAAAATAGTATTAAAGGTCAACTTTGTGCAAGGACAAAATTCTGCATACATTCAAAACCTAATTGAGGATTACTGTAATATGCATTATGTCTAATTGCTGCCTGGCCTCTTGATCTCTCTCACTACAGCCAGCCACGTGTCTGGAGAAACCACAGCGCTTCCTTCCGTGGTGACGACCTCGGAGTCGGTCACTGAAATCACAGCCAACAGCTTCGTGGTCTCCTGGGTTTCTGCTTCAGACACAGTCTCAGGATTCCGTGTCGAGTATGAATTGAGTGAAGAGGGGGATGAACCCCAGTATCTGGGTGAGAGAGAGAGAGAGAGGGAGGCCTGAAACCCAGATTTTTGTCCCCTTGTTAGAAGTGCCAGATTCCATCCAAAATTACATGTATTTGTGTGGAAATGGGGGACACTAGGAATATAAACTGAAACCCCTTAATACATAGGCAAAGGCTGTCTTTGCTTAAGTAGCCAAAATGAGCAGGATGGCCTCTGTCGTGATCTCGGCCCGCTTTGGTGGTTTGGTGTGGTGGTTAAGTGTGTGGGGACTCTAATCTGGGAGAACCGGGTTTGATTCCCCACTCCTCCACTTGCAGCTGCTGATGTGACCTTGGGTCAGTCACAAGCTCTGGCACAGCTGTCCTCGAAAAAGAGCAGCTTGTGTCAGAGTTCTCTCAGCCCCACCCACCTCACAGGGGGTGTCTGCTGTGAGGAGGGGAAGGGGAAGGAGCTTGCAAGCCGCTCTGAGACTCCAAGTGAAGGGCCATGGGGTATAAATCCAATCTCTTCTTCTTCTTTGCTAAGAGGAGTCCGGGTGGGAGGGAGGGAGGGAGGGAGGGAGGGAGCGAGATGTGTGTTGTGTCCTCAGAGGGGGTGAGCCATTCTCTCTTGTGCTTGTTCTGTTCTTGAAGACCTTCCAAATACAGCCACGTCGGTCAACATCCCCAACTTGCTTCCGGGCCGCAGATACATCGTGAACGTCTATCAGATTTCGGAAGAGGGGGAGCAGAACCTGATCCTGTCCACTTCACAGACGACAGGTATGTCTGGCAAGGTCCGGTGGCTGGTGGCAGCTTGGTACTCGGCGCGCCACGCCTCCTCTTTGCCGTTCACCGTGGCCTCTTGTTGCTCATTTCCACAGCACCTGACGCTCCTCCGGAACACATCGTGGAAAGTGTGGATGACACGTCCATCATCGTGAGATGGAGCCGGCCGGAGGCGCCCATCACAGGTCCGCCCCGTTTGCCTGCACTGACCTTTTAACCGTCCTGGTGTCTTTTGTCTTTGTGCTCCTTTGCGGGAGAGACGAGTGGGTGTAGAAAGTACCATTCAGGCCAGGAGAGGGGAGCGTTTCTCCTGCTTCCTGCCCAGTTGAGGCTGATGGCCGACTTGTGTTGCCTTCCCCCCCCCCGAAGTGAAGCTGTGTGGAATTTGTGTCGTTTTAATACATTTCTAGACTAGCCTCTTTGTTTTGGGGAAAGTCTCATAAACAGGTGGCCACTCACAGGCAGTTTTGTGTGTCAGTGAAATGAGCGAAGCTTGCGGATGCAGTTAGGCAGGGAAGTCCCCTCGAGGTCCACCTGGTTTCCTCTGGGCCGTGCTCAGGGTCTGCCGGAGGCTTTGGAAACAAAGGGCAGGTCAGCCGCTGCTTTCACACACGGCAGAGGCTGCTGGGACTTTTCCACGCCTTGATTCACCCCATCCCGGTTTCCCCTGCCTGCTCCCCTTAATCTTAAAGACTGTGCTTGAACTCAGCAGAAGAACATAGAAACTGTGATAAAAAATAGATGTGCCAGTTTCTGAAAATGTGTTTCCTGATGACATTTCATGGATTCGAAAGAGCTTCCATGGGGACTTTTGACACCTTTGGCTCCCCTAGGTTACCGCATCGTCTACACGCCGTCCGTGGAGGGCAGCAGCACGGAACTGAACCTGCCCGAGTCGGCCACCTCTGTAACGCTCAGCGACTTGATGCCCGGGGTGCAGTACAACATCACCATCTACGCTGTGGAGGAGAGCCAGGAGAGCAGCCCCGTCTTCATCCAGCAGAAGACCACCGGCGTCCCACAGGAAGGTAACGCGGCACATTCTTCGGGAGCTGGGTGGTCCTGTACCATGGATGGCTTGCCCATCTCACTGGCATTCGAGGTGGGTTACCAGTCAGACAACACAAGGCAGCCCGTGAGCAATGCAGTAAGACCAGGACTGCAAAATTTGAAGACTTAAAAAAACCCAGCCTAGGACATGACAAACCATAAACGATACAGAAAATGGATAGCGGCAGCCAAAGATACAGCAGCAAAAGCAAGAGAATGGAGCGGTGGAAAAGGAGAGCGACGAGGATGATTTGGGGGGCCTGGAGCCCAAGAAGCCCTGTGAGGAAAGGCTGAGGGACTTCTTGGGAATGTTCAGTCTGGAGAAGAGGAGGTTGAGGGAGGAGGACAGGATGGCTCTCTTGAAGTCTCTGGAGGGCTGTCCCTTAGAGGAGGAGGGCAGGGAGCTGCTCCTGTCGGCAGTAGAGAACATAAGAACATAAGAGGCGCCCATGTTGGATCAGGCCAAAGGCCCATCCAGTCCAACACCCTGTGTCACACAGTGGCCAGAAATACCAGGTGCCATCAGGAGGTCCAGCAGTGGGGCCAGGACACTAGAAGCCCTCCCACTGTTGACCCTTGACCCCCCCAAGCACCAAGAAGACAGAGCATCCCTTGCCCCAGCGTCCCTATCTGAACCTTGTAGCTAAGAGCCCCTGTGATGGACCTCTGCTCCATGTGCTTATCTAATTCCCTCTTGAAGCCGTCCATGCTTGTAGCTGCCACCACCTCCTGCGGCAGTGAATTCCATGTGTTAATCACTCTTTGGGTGAAGAAGTACTTCCTTTTATCCGTTCTAACCTGACCGCTCAGCAATTTCATGGAGTGCTCACGAGTTCTTGTATTGTGAGAAAGGGAGAAAAGCACCTCTTTCTACTTTCTCACTACCTCTTTCAAAGGTTCTACTTCATGCAGCAGCTATACACGGCTGGCTTCACTGCCGCGTTCACGTTCCGCTTCTTCAGACAGCTGGTACTCTTTAGCCGTGAAACTGGAAAATATACTTCTGTGTCACATCCACTATGTTATAACATATTTACTACATCCCCAGTTGTCAGCACATACATACTCACTGAAATAAAGTTGATACAACCTCCATGTGGGGGCTGGGGATCTCCTGAGATTACAACTGATCTCCAGTCCACCAAGATCAGTTCCCCTGGAGAAAATGCTTTCTTTGGAAGGTGGACTCTATGGCATTCTACCCTGCTGAGGTCCCTCCCCTCCCCAAACCCCGCCTTCCCCAGGCTCCGCCCCCAAAATCTCCAGGTATTTCTCAACCCAGAGCCGGCCCCCTTTCCTGTGAGATAGGTTAGGCTATGAGTGTGTGTGTGACTGGCCAAAGGTCACCCAGGGAGCTTCTATGGCACTGGAGGGATTCCCGGGCAGGGCTCTTTTGGTAGCAGGTACTCATTTGCATATTAAGCGACACACCCCTAATGTAGCCAATCCTCCAAGAGTTTACAGTAGCCCCTGTAAGAAGAGCTCTGTAAGCTCTTGGAGGATTGGCTACATTAGGGGTGTGTGGCCTAATATGCAAAGGAGTTCCTGCTACAAAAAGAGCC